TGCTTGGTTGCTGGGTTGCTGGGTTGCTGGGTTGCTGGGTTGGGTGGGTTGGTTGTTGGGTTGGGTCGCATTGGGTTAGCCAACCCAACAACCCAACCAACACAACCCAACCCACCTGACCTAACCCAAGCCACCCAACCCGCCCAACCCACCCAACCCAACCCAACTCAACAAAAATCGGGTTGGTTTGGGTTGGTTTGGTTGGGTTGGTTGGGTTGGTTTGCTTGGTTTGTTTGGTTTTGTTATTTAATTGGTGTGGTTGTTTAGTTGGTTTGGTTGTTTCGTTGTTTCGGTGTTTGGTTGGCTGGCTGGCTGGCTGGCTGGCTGGTTGCTTGTGCGTGTGTCATCCTGCAACGTAAGCTGTGAATCCGCAGGTACTGTATCGCATAGAAGATTCGGATATGTATATTGGTTATAGTATAGTTGTTGGCCCAGAGCCTTTGGGCGCCTAACCTGGGCGAAGCTACAGAAGTGACATATGCACCTGAGATTCTCTCTGTGAGTTCTACCTATGCATATTTGCAACATGACATCGCTGAGCCGCTGAGGTTCGCGAAATCGTCGCGAACTCTTGCTGTCAGTCTACCTGCCTCTTGTTGTCAGATTGGAGCGTGGTCATTCGTCATGAGGTGAGTGCCGGAACTTGTAGTACTTTGTCAGAACCCGCGCCAGCATTGCAACATGTGGCTCGAGCATCAAGGATGCCAAAAAGAAACCAGTGCCAACGGACCAGGGCTTTGCAAGGGTGTGTGTTGTGCTTGCTTGGCTCTCTGACGCCTGGTCCTGCAGTTTCTGGCGCATCCTTTTGGTGGAATGCCGGATATCCTCGACAGTTACTCCGGAGTGTCGCGGAGGTTGAGTTTTTGTCACACCTTGCCGTGCTTTTGGCACCGGACCAGCCGATCGCAGAGCTATTTCGTGATTTTTGTGTTGAGCCATCCGAGAACTGGGCGTCAAGCCGTTTGAGCCCGGACTTGGCGGTGCCTGGTGTCTTGAAAGAGAAGAATGCCGTGTTGTTCCTAGAATATGATGGATACTACCGGCATCAGCTACCCTCCGGGATTGCCGCAGACGAACGCAAGAATGCAGCTTTGATGCATTATGCGCCAGCAGGCTCGCGAGTCGTAAGGGTGGCCCACGCCGGCCGGAATGTCTCCAGAGGCGACGACAGAGTAATCGAAGTTGTGGTGAGTACTTGGCAGCCTGGCACCCAAAGATCCCTGAGGAGAACTGTATGGCAACTCGCACAGCATTTATCCAGCAAGTTGCATGGTCTGCTGCGTCCTGCACCAAGAGCACGTATTCTCGAAGTTCCTCACCCTGGCCAGGTTGATCTGGAGCCTGCGCATTCTTTCGTTCAGGAAGCTACACTCTCAGGCGGAGGTGGGACAGCAGAGAGCAGGAGGACTGAGGTCCTCGCATTTCTTCAAGAAGTCATCGCTTTGCCAGAGGCTGTGGCTGAGGCAGCATTGCGGAAGTTCCCTCCGTTGCTTGGGTGCAGCATCGAGGCCAACCTGAAACCCACTGTGGATTGGCTGCACGATTTGGGTCTGAGCAAGGCCCAAGTGTCAAAGGCCATTGCCAAGTATCCTCGTTTGCTTGGGTACAGCATCGAGGCAAACTTGAAACCCACTGTGGAGTGGCTGCACGAAGTTGGGTTGAGCAAGGCCCAAGTGACCAAGTCCGTCGCCACTTATCCTTCACTGCTTGGTTTGAGCAACGAGGCAAACTTGAAACCCACAGTGGAGTGGCTGCACGAAGTTGGGTTGAGCAAGGCCCAAGTGACCAAGGCCATGGCCACTTATCCTTCACTACTTGGTTTGAGCATCGAGGCAAACTTGAAACCCACTGTGGAGTGGCTGCACGAGGTGGTTCTGAGCAAGGCCCAAGTGACCAAGGCCATCGCCACTCATCCTCAGTTGCTTGGGTTGAGCATCGAGGCGAACTTGAGACCCACTGTGGAGTGGCTGCACGAGGTGGGTCTGAGCAAGGCCCAAGCGTACAAGGCCATTGCCACCTTGCCTCAATTGCTTGGGTACAGCATTGAGGCCAACTTGAAACCCACTGTGGAGTGGCTGCATGAAGTTGGATTGAGCAAGACCGAGGTGTCCAACATGATTGCAACCTTTCCCCAGCTGCTCGGGTTGAGTATCGAAGCGAATCTGTCTCCAAAGTTGTTTCTTTTGCATGGTTATTTCTCTCCAGCTGTTTGCAGGGACATCATCGCCGCATTTCCTCGACTGTTTTCTTACAGCCGAGATCGGCTGCAGGATCGCTTGGCAATTCTGCACAACCATCAGCTGGTTTCGAAGCTTCTCTCTGTCATAACTTTGACGAATGCTCGCTTTGCCCGGAGATTTCCCACAGCACCGCTGTCTCAAAGGCAGCGCATGTCACACGCCCACGGTGCGAAGGCAGCTCAGTGCAGAAATGCGCTCCTTGGTCGGGGAAGTTGTGTTCTTCTCGCCTTCAAGAGTCAGAGACTAGGTGACTATACCCATAGGTCCCCTAAGTAGTTCCTTTTTGGGGTTAGCTTATAGGATCCTAAATATAAACCAGAGACTAGCTTAGATAGCCAATGGGGGAACTTTAAACTTTTTGGCCTTATATATTAAGTCTTTCTTAAAAGAGTTTGATTTTTTGGGGGGCCTGGTTGTTGAAGAAGAGAGCTAGGTGACTATAGATCCGTCTCAAGGCTTACCGTTGGGTAAGAATGGTCACAGCAGAGGCTAAGGCGGCTAAGTGATGGGCTCCTCAAGCACAGAACAGTATTTCAAAGGGAGGTTGCATCACCTACAGACTGCTTGAATGCCAGGCCAGCTCCGAAGGTGGAGATTACACCGGTGGAGACCGAGGACACGTCGGTTTGTCTGTTGGGTGTGTGCAGTCTCCAGCGTGTGGGTTCTGAGTTTCGGCAGCGCATCAATAGGAGCTTTCGCTTTAGCAGCAACAATTGCAGCGCACACACGGAACGCCGCTACATCAAGGACTCGCGTGAAACAGCTTTCTCATACCACCTCACAGAGTATACAGTCATGCGAGACCTATACTGCTGCTAGTGTCGACGAAGGGCCTCACCGAAGGCCTCCGCTGAAAAGGCACCTCCGCGGCAAGGAAGGATACAATCCCTGGAAGCCTATAAACAATCCTGTTGTTGGAACCTTGTTTGGGCCCCGTATAAAGCCTTACAATCTCAAGCCCCATCCAATCGCGAGCATCCTGGGGGCCCATGTAAGCGGAACACCTTAAAACCCTAAAACCCAAACTGTGGGTTTAAGGTTTCGGGTTTGGGGAAGTCGACACGGACACAGGATCAGAGGTTTCCTTGTTGCATACCCTAAGGGTCCATGTACTCGTATAGTATATACATTGGCCCCAAAGGGGCTACTTTAAGGCCAAAGTATATACTAGTTGAGTACAGTGACCTTTGGGGTATAGGGTAGTATAGGGTGTCAACGGCAGAAGGGCCACATGAAGCGTAGGGTTCTCGCAAGTGCCCCCTTTACAGAAGCCTGATACTCCGAATGTAGGATCCTGATGATACGTATGTCTATGGCCATGCACTGTATAATAGTGGAAGAATCGAGAAAGTTTTGAAAATGGACGTAATCAGGACGTTCTCGTCTTCGCCGACCAAGCAGGGCTTTGTCAGAAGTACCACAGACTTGTTTTGATCTGCATCTTCCTTGCAGTGTTGCCTGTTTACGCGTTTCCAGTCATGGACCCTAGACAGCAAAAATCTGGAACCGAAGCCCCAGACCAAGTTGTACAGGTGGGGATTGTGAGATGCTCGTTGGAGTCGGTAGTGCCCGAGAGCTTGGGGTCTAGCTCTAAAGGTTTCAGCGTTTAGGTTTTTAAGATGTATAGACTTCTAGGACTAGATTCGGAGTGTAGGGTGTTAGGATGTAGCATGCAGACTCCAGAGGTTTGCAGTTCAATTTGATGTCGTGCCTTGTGTTCCACCGTACCGAAGCATCCGATCGGGCTTTTTGTGCAAGAGAAGCTGTGAACAGTTGCTGAATAATCCGTCGAAGCCCGGGATACCGGATTCCCATTCAGCTCCTGCTGCGGTGGCCTTCCAGTGAATCTCTCCATATCTGTGCATGCCAGGCTCCTGGAGAAAGCGCCGGAGGGGCGAGTGAGGGCCTTACAGATGTTCACCGACAGTCAGACCCGCGTTTTGTTCTGTGAGTTGTTTGCAAGAAGTGCAGCAGCTGTCCCATCCCCGAATCCCCTATCCTGTTCTGTATTGGGGTACTAGCCATATGCTTGGCACGGTTTCTTCTGCATGAAAACAAATAAGTACCATCATAGAATCATATATGGGTTGTCTATTGCCTATGCAGATGTCACTGTTGGTATGTGTGAGCCTCCAGTCTTTTGGATGGTGTTCCTTCAACCGACCTGACTGCTCGCACAGTACGTAAAGTTCGTTGCTGTTGCCAACCAGGTGCGACTTCGTCGGAAAGGCAAAGCATATACCCCCAACAATCCCTGGCAGTTTCCATTATATACAGGAGCCTCGGACCCTTCCAACTCAACCTGCAATCAGTTACAGCAATCCCAACACATGTTCGAACCTCTTAAACATCGAAACATACATAGTCTTGAGCCTCGAGCCATGTGAGCCCAGGTGGGAACCAAGAAGGTTATCACCAAGCCTCCACGGCTCCTTACTCAGGATCCGGGTCACTTTGTGTAACTAGGCCTTGCGTTTTGTAGGGGATTCGGGGTTTGGGGATGTTCTGAGTTTGGTGGTTGGGTCTTTAGGGTTTTGGGGCGTTGAGCTATGTTTTGGGGGTATGGCCCGCGACATCTTATTCAAAATCCGCCGTGTGCTTCTGCATGTTTCTTGCAGGAGGACTGCGAGACGCTGCTGTCGAAGGGAAAGTATGCCACGCACCCAGCAGCTGTGTCGGAATCTAGAGGTCGTCTGTAGGTATCCATTTCAGTGGAAACGAGCACTGCATGGCTGGATTCTCGGCCATGGTATGGAACGACCCGAAATGACCCACAATCACAACTTCTGGGAAGGTTTGAGTACCTCAGAGATCATAGAGACAGCATGAAGTTTACAAGCATTATGCCTGCAGCCACACAAAATAGCGTGCGTGGATGCTTGCTGCATAGCTTCCCGCTAAGATCAACCCGCACTCGCACAGACACGCTGTTGGGTGCCATGCAGTGCTCCAGCCATTCCCGCCATCGCATCAGCCACTTTCGAGCATAGGGCAACGTCTAGCTGGAATGAAGCTTTTATTACAAGTTTTGGGGGTTAGCGTTTACATCCCAGCAGCGTAAATCTGAAAGAAAGGCTTCGCATTAGAAACAATGTGAGGCAGCAAAGCGGTAAACCCCTGATAACTCTAACCTTACGGCGTAGCCTTTGTGAGGACCTTTTGGTGGTGGGAAGCCCATTAGATCCACCGAAGAGCCGGACCCTCGGAACATGCCACTACAGTTACAGAGACTGGGGTTTAGGTTTCGGGTTTTTTGGGTTGGGTTCAGGGTTTTTTGGGTTGGGTTCAGGGTGCTGGGGTGGAGGGTTCAGATTTCGATTTTTGAGTGTAACAGCTTGTAAGTCACAGGGTTTTGGGTTCGGGGTTGTGGGGCTTTGGGAGCAGGCTTTTGGAACATGGATGCAGCTTCAACTGCAGCTTTAGCTGCGCTTCTTCTTCGAGAGATCGTTTGTGCTGTTTAACGTTTATTCACCCAGGCTGTCACGCGGAAATTGCAGACTCTACCTCGTTCCTGCTAGGTTCCTTCGGTTCGTTCGCACTTCCCTCCAGCTTGTTTCAGCAGGTTGCTGAGCAACTTGCGTCCCGCTCCAAACCGGCCCCGCAGACCCGACACCGAGGCAGCAGCACTGCAGATGTCATCGCGCAGCAGTCGGCAGTGGACAAGTTCCTCTTCCTCTTGCTTCAGTCGATGATGAAGCATGTGGAACCCGGCATGCTTGCTGCAGTATGTCCCTGGAGCCCTTTGCCTTTTGAGTTTCGGGCTGAGGGTGTGCATGGCTGACCTTTGCATCTTCCAGCAAACCCCAAACTACTCTCGTCTGCGACATCTAGATACCCTTTCACCCTCCAAGGCAAAGCTTATCGGCTTGAATGCGCCGCCAACTTGAAGGGGCAGAGGGATTTCAAGATTTCCCAAATTTCAACTAAGACTCTAGTATTGCGTTTGTTCATCACCTTCAGCAGTTCCACACTGGTTCTTGCCATGTTGATACCAATGCTTCTGGGAAAGAGGCTGGGTTTTGGATTTCAGGATTGCTGTGGCCAGCAATAATTCCTCCTTCTTCAACCTTTAAATTTAAGACATTTAACTTGTTTCCGAGCTCTCTCGAGAACTGCTGCCCACGTTCCAAAACCGGTGCGTACACTGCCGGATGCCAGGAAGGCTGCGTGCAGCGGTTGGCGGTGCTCACTCATGTCCCTCGGCAAAAACTGATGTGAGCCATGCTACGGCAGATGGTGCATGATGTCAGCGGAATTCTAAACCTCAACATCCCACCAACCCCAACAATCTTACAAAAACACTAAATCGCCCTAAGCCTTGAAACCTTTAGCCGCCGAAGCCTTCAACTTCCCCTAATTAAGCCTCTAAGTCGAGACCACGACTTCCGAGCCCCCCCAAGTAATAAATTTCACGCGAGACGCTGTTTTCCGAGCCAAGGACACCTTCACAGTGGAGGAAGCCTCACACAAGCAGCGCGGTCGGAAGCCCAGTCGTGTCGTGCAAACTTGCGTGTCCTGCTCTACAGATAGACATCATATGAGCCTGGATCGTTAGGTATACATATACAAACATGTAAAACCTAAATATGTGAATATATATATATATAAGTAAGTAAGAGCTGTTCCAGTCGTAGCAGTTAGGCTTTGTTTGCAGCTTGAGAAGCGACCTTGGCACATTTCTGGCCGTATTGCGATTCATCACTCTGGAAAGTGTGGTGATATTACGCCACAACAGTGCACGTTGACAGCAGAGACAAGGAATACTATCACCACCTTCATCACCACCATGGTCACCTTAGTGCAATGACATCACCTCAGTGACCTTTGGTTTGACATACTTTGCAGAGTCTTCACACGCTCGCCTGGTGCACTTTGACCATAAAGCTCACAGGATGGCACGGGCCGGGTTCCTGAGGTTTGAGCATCGTGTCTGGAGTCTCTTCCTCAGTGGCGCTTTTGCATGTTGCTTGTCCGATGCCTGAATGCGATATCCCTGTTCGCATAGCATGCAGGGATAGTTTTGCAGTGGACCCTCTCCAGTATACTCTTCGCAGCAAGTGAAGATTCCTGGTGAATGCACCCCCGCCATTCTACCGCACATCCCGGCAAACGGCCACAATCGTGAACATGTAAGCAAATGTAAGCTTAACGCCTTGGAACCACCTCTCCAACGAGGCCACTATCTTTGGCATGATGAACACCGCTCGGCAAGAGCTGGGCATCCCCATACAGGTCCTGCCTGGAAGGGCGGCAGAGGAATGTTTGGGGGCTTTCCGGCGGGCGGGCAAAGTAGTGGACGACTTAGGAGGGCTTCGTTGGAGATCTAGATTTGGGAGTTTAGGCCTTCAAGGTTTGAGAAGCAAGCGTGAGGTTAAGATGGAATCGAGTATTTATCGGGAGGTTAGGGATGGCTACATTTTTGAAGATGAGATTTTGGATCTTAGGCCTTGGATGATGGAGGTATGGATTATTGTTTGGGATTCAGCATTTTGTCTTGAGTTTAGGGATGTGGAGTTTGCAGTTTGTGACTGAGTGGCGTCAGGAGTTTAAGGTTTCACGTTGCCTATTACATGTGTAGGGCCTCCAGGGCCTACTGGGCTTAGGGCTTGGGGTTTAGTGGCTTAGGACGTCGGTTTGCGAGTTTTTGTTTGCTCGGGGCTTTAAGTTTACAGCTTCGGGATGGCGGTACCTCCGGCTAACACGAAGCCACAGGTCATCGATGTCGTCCGAGACCCAGGGAGAGTGGGGGGGGAGGTAGTTCTGCTTTCAAGAGTTGAGACGGTTAAGACAGCCATGTCGGTTGGTGGCGAGCGATGAGTAGCACCGTCGTAGGCAGCATCATTATTGTTGTTTTCAGCCTCCACTTCTGTGGAGTTGCCCCCAGTTTTTTTTCCGAAGATGAGCAAAACGGCATATGCAGGCCAGTGCTCAGCAGCCTTGTCATTGGCTAGATTCAGATATGAATGACTTTTTCTGCACCCAGCTCACAAATATTCTGATGGATGCAAGGCACATGTGCTGATTTCTTCTGAACCTCTTTGGACCCATGATCTCAATCTCCAGCCAAGTCCAATTTCCGTGTTCCCATGTTTTAGCTCAAAGGACAGTAGGCAATGTTTGCGGTCTGATAGTCACTCGTGCAATCCATGTAAACCTATAGACGCCGTAGCCCTGTAGCCGATCCCTAAACACATGATGAATTCCTCGGGACTCAGAGGCCGCGCTTCGAGAGGCTTTTGTGTTCAGGAGTTTAGACAATCCTCGGAGCGTGGCTGAGGAATATCTCGACCGCCCGGACATGATCCCACCTTTGTCCTCGGAGCTGTTTAGGCTGGGATATGGCTTTCGGGTTGTGAAGGTTGGGGCTGCGACCGTGAGGAAGTAGGTACGGCTGCGAAGCTGCAACTTACAAGACGGCTTCGTAAGGTCGCGCTTCCACCAATTTTCCGATTCAGGGGTGTCAGCCCATGTCGAATCTGTTCGAGGCAAAGCTCGAACTTTGGATTGTGTGAGCGAAGATCACTGAACCTTGACACATAAGAACGAAGATTGTCATTCTTCGGGCAAAGCACGGCTCGAAGCAATTGATGCCGAGATGCCAGGACATGTGTGCACGTCTTAGGACATGAGGATGCAACCTCCGACTTTCTGAAGTATGGGTTTAGGGTTTAGGGCTTAGGATGAGGACGCAAACTCCGACTCTCTGAAGTATGATGTAGGCCACGACAAGAGCCGAGTTGTTGATTGGGTTGGCAAGGCTCACGCCTGCGATAGAGCTGTGACTGCAGAGCAACAGCATCCCTGCTTGAAGTGTTCAGGCCCCCTGTCAGCCCCTACATGGGTAGTTCTCTCCAACAGGGTCCTCTGCCATACTACATTGGGGACCTTAAAAGGGACCCCAATTCAGGGATCCCAATTCTAATTGGCAAGGCCCCTTTGTTAGACTGCTAGACCACAGTGACCGAACAAATTGGATGAGGCTAGGCACTTTCGGGGCCCCGGCCTCAGTGCTCTCAGTTTAGGGTCTGGGGCGCTGGGACCAAGGTTTCAAGTGTTGTGCTATCTACTTCTCCTCTTCTCAGATGCAAGCTCGACGGTGAGAATGACATGTTCGTCGGACTATTGGCAAAAGCTCTACAACAGCGCGTGCAAACCAATTGTAAGATGGCTAAATAGCTCGTGCAAACCTAAGATAAGATAGCCAAGTTCAGTACTTGGGAACAAAAAGATAAAATCTAGCACCCTGAACCTCGTGGTGGGCTGGTACGAAACTACATTCAACTTTTCTTCCTGAAACAACGAACCGCAGACAGTGGGCCCAGAATCCCTTGTTGCTTGGGGGCCTTGAGTTTGTGGTTGGAGGTGTAAGGATTCATGAAGGCTTGGGATGTAAGGTTCAGGATGTCATGCCTGTTTCAAGACCACCTTTACCCACAGGCCCCTATCCTTTTTATGGTTTATATTTAGAATCCCACAAGGTAATCGCAAAAAGGAACTACTTAGGGGCCTATGGGTAGCCCAACCCTGAACTTCCCCCCTTACGCCCGAGGTCAACACCGTCAGGCAGTGCTGGCCCTACCCGATCTACCGGGGCATCCGCCACGACCGCCCGCATGGGTCCGGGAGCCTGGGCGATCAGAGAGGCTCTTCTTTCAGGCAGACCCCAAGAAGCATGCATTGTTGTTTTGTTGTTATTTGGGTGAAGGTTTGAGATGTTTTGAGGTTGTAGGCTCCTTTGTTTGATTCATTGACCGCTAAAACCATAGATGTGCGTATGTATATATATATATTTATATATATATATATTAATAAATATAAATATATATATATATATTAGTATATATATATATTAATATAAAAACAATAATAATATACATTTATATTAATATATAAATATAATTATAAATATAAATATAAATATAAGTATAAATATAAATATAAATATAAATATAAATATAAATATAGATATAAATATAAATAAATAAACATATATATATATAATACACACACACACCTTTTTCGCCCAAACCCCTTAGCCAGACTCCCAGGCGCTTTGTCTACAGGCAGTTCCTGTCGCGGGAGTACGAGACAAAGGCCTCAAAGCCATGGGCCGTGGCCTTGGTTTTGGGCGTTTATCGTTCAGGTTCAGGATTTAGGGTTTCGAATTAGTGTTTTGTTTGGTTACTTGTTTTTTTGTTTGTTTGTATAGAAAACATGTTTTGGTTTAGCAGGGCTTAGATAGAGAAACCAGCTATTTCTTCTGTTTTTTTGAACCCTAAAAAAAAACCCTAATTTTTAGAGGAAGGTACGGAGGCTTGCAATCTGCAGTTTCCATGGCTTCAGGCCTGAGGCTGCGGCTTGGTATAGACGTTCAGGATGATTTAGGCTTTAGGGTTTAGGGCTTTAGGGTTTTTAGGGTTTTAGGGTTTAGGGTTTAGGGTTGTGCTTGGAGCTGTCCATTTTTTATGAGCAGGTTTGGTCAGCCCATGCAGATCAAAGCCAACCTTTCAGGAGTATGTTGACGACCGCGATGAGCAGGTGCAATCCCTACTGAAGCGTGTCGTTCCGCTCGAAGCATCCTACACTCCAAAATCCACAGGCCCGTGAAGTCCACAACCCGGTATGTTCGAATATTCTTTGCCCATTTAAGATCATTTAAGAAGCCCCAGTGCAGAGTGTAAAAGAGCTGCAGAGAGTTGACGATTATGGCAGCTTGAATCAGCCTGAAGTGAACCCCAAAAGCCCGGAACTTCTAGAACCCGAAGCCCCCATGCAGCCCCTGCAGATGGGTTCTCAGGATGTGCCCAGCGAGGGCATCATCGCCATCTCCGGCGGTAACGGCGCTTTGGGTCTGGCCAGGACCCTGGAAGCTTTCAGGTTGGAGGCTTTGGGGTTTAATCTAGGGGCCTTAATAGATGAAATAGGGTTCCATAAGGGTTATAATAATTAGAATAGGGTTCTTTGTAAAGGGTTCCATAAGGGTTACTATAAGGACTTAATGTAGGGGCCTTAATAATTAGAATAGTGCTTTAGGACCCAGGACAGTATACTTGTAATAAATTAGAACTTTTTCCGTTAAGTTGAGGGTGAAGGGTTCAGAGTTTAGTAGTGGCTTCCTTTGACCTGGAGCTTATCACGTGTCTATCTCAGAGTTTTCAAGGTGTTTCTGGTGTCAACGGTGACACAGAGAGTTCGCCCTCCCCCCGCCCAAGCCTTAGCAAAAGTTGATGATGCCGTGTCCACCAACCCCCTTGCGCTTCAGCACTTAGAACTCGACAAGCCTGAATACTGAGGCTGTGATTTCAAAGACAGCCATCATGTCATTCCGAGACAAAAAACCACAGAAACAATACTGGTTTGCGTCATAATCTTACCCTACCAGTGCCAAGCCCTGTTCCAACTACTCAGAGTTTGATAACTCTCGATTTGCTCCTCAACTAGAGCCCTAAGCCCGAAATACAGGGTAGTTGTAACTGGTCCCTACGCTAGTACTGTAGTTTAAGGAATGTTCAGGGCCTTTTGTATGTGGTCCCTACTGCATGCTTTTTTTCGGGAAAGTGCTACCTTCTAGCGCTTGTGGAGTCTCTGAAAATCCGGGGAGTGTCAGCCCTAAAACCTAAACCCCAAACCCCCTAAACCCAGTGACCCAGTGTCTCATGGGGATCCGGGAGTGTCAGCCTCTGGGGCCCTTAGGTCATGGGCTCCTGGCTGCTGGAGCGCGCAGAGAAGCAGATGAAAGCCAGCGGCTCGCGCCTCGGAGAGCTGGCCTCGACTCAAAGGGGTGAGGTAGACCTAAAACCCACAAACAAAGACGGGCCAAGGCTCCCAACTAAGAACCACCATTAGCCGGTAAAGACCTATGGTAAAGGGGCGGAGGAAATTGCGACCCTTAGATTGCCTATCTTGATTGCGTGATGATGCGCACTCTACATGAA